GGATTTAACGCGGGTTTCGCGTTGAAAAATTCAACGCGCGTTGAATTTGCGTTAAACTCACGTTCAAACGCGAGTTGGACGGGAATTAACGGGGTCCGGGATGATTGTTTTCGTGGGCTAACAATTATCCAAAAACAAAAAACAAAATATGCGGTTGTAGGTTTTGTTGAGGACTACAACCCTGTATTTTTATTTTTATTTTTTGATGCTTAGATCTATTTTTTTTTAATTTAAAACATAAACACACAATGAAAAAACAAAAACGAAAATGTAATGAGTGTATTTGTTTTGGGTTTCACACAGATTTTTTTAGCGCTAAAACGAAAAAATAAAAAAAAATAAAAAATATAGGGTTGTAGATCTTTTAAAGATGTACAACAATGTATTTTTTCTTTTATTTTTTTGGAACTTCGTGTAGTTAAAAAAAAATCAAAACCATAAAAAGCAAATTGAAAAAAGGAAAAAAAGACACACACACACACAAAATTGGGCCTGTAGCAGGTTATGAGTCTGCTGTCAGTTGGTTGAGGGAACCCAGGTCCTGGGCCGCCTGTGTGAATGTATGGAAAGCAGGCCCTGGGCTGGATACGGGTACTGGGGCAAACATAGGCTAAAGGCAGTTGGGGGCGTGCAACCACCTCAGGCCCAAGGCCTGTTCTCGTTCGTGTCGTGCCTCAGGCTACCGGGGCCTACTGGAAGCTTCCTGGGACTGAACACAGGTAGGCCACTTCGATATAGCAAAGGGTCTGCCTCCACATTGGGCATTTGGGTGTTGGTTGCATGTTGCGTAAGCGCTGCCGCGCTGTAGCTGGTGCCACTCACGCGCTCACGGGCGAGTAGGAAGGAGCAGGCAGCCATAGCCGAGCTGCACTGCTGTAAGCTGGGTGTGGCGCAGGGTGGTCCTTGGGTGCAAGTGGAATCTGTGTGTTGGGGAACGAGGTTGTGAGTAAGGCGAGACACACTCTCACGCGCAGGCATAGACACACTTACACTTACACACACACACACACTTACAAACACACACATACACAAACACACACATATACATACACACACACTTACAAACACACACATACAYTTACMAGCACAGACACACACACACAYWCTTACAAACACACACATACACAAACACACGCGCATACATTCSTATTCATGCACAGACACACTCTCACAGCAGGCACACACATACACAGATACGCGCACACACAGCATACCTACACACACATAACTGGGGCGTTGGGGGTTGGGGGATGTGGGGGCAGATGGGAGATGCTTCAGGGGTTGGGGGGATTTTTTTTTAATTTTTTTTTTTCTAGGTTACCTGATCGGACGTCCGGGACCCCCCTGACCGTCCGGGGTTGTCCGCTCGGACAACCGGTCAGACATCCTCCCCTGGCAGACTGTCCGAGCTCGACGGCAAAA